TTTTTTAAGAAACTTAAAGATAGAATTAATGACATAGTGATTAGGGGTGTTCAAAAATCAGGTCTGACCGGAAAAACGGACCGAACTGGTCTTCGAGTTGAGAAATTTATTTTTCCGGTCTTCGGTCCGATCAGGTCCAAAATCCTATAAAGACTGGTCTTGGACCAGACCGGTTTTTTACTTAAATTTATGCATAAAACCTTACATAATGATTAAGATTATCCTTAATAAGCTTAGAAAACTTTAATCGCATCAGTTTTTTTGTACTAAACATACAAAAAATGACGTTAAAATGATGTTTTTCCTTTTTTTTTTGAGTTTTCTATAAAATGATTAAAAAAAAATCGAGTTCAAAATAAAATTATTAAACATTCTAAAATTGGTCTAGTCCGGGTTTTGGATCAATTTTTCCGGTTCGGTTCCAGCTTAACCAGGTCCGATTTTCGGTTCTTGAAATTCAAACTTTCGGTCTTTGGTCCGGTTCGATCTTGGACTGATGAACAACCCTAATAGTGATTGCTTCAATTTAGTCAATAATATACGTTTTCAATTGAGTGTGCAGCACGATTTCTACCCATTTAAAGGACCTAATTAAGATTTTTTTTTTTTGGTTGCATTATCATCATAAGTTCGTAACCGACGATTATGGACAAATTCTTGATAAACATCATTTAATTAATTAATCAAGTGAGAGTGTGAGACATATCATGTTGATATGACTATTATTAGCTATCAAAAGAAACGGTAACAGTGTATTGACTATAATAGTACTGTATAACTTTAATTATGTGTTTGGAACTAGCAAAATTAGACATAAATATTCATTGTTTTGTTAGTATTCAAATTATTTTTCAAAAAGACATTAAACATTGCGTTTAGTAACTTAACTCATTAATGATGTAAACTACACTAAAGTATATAGAAGTGTTTCTTCTCAAACTTTTTTCTTGTTTGTTTATTGATAGAGATTACAATGGAAAAGTATTAGTGTGGATATGTCGAGAAATTATTTTTGTTACTTGTACAGTTTTACGTGATTGGGCCATTTTGGTTACCGTATATATTTTTTCTAACAAAATTTAATTACTGAATTAAAAGTATACTACGTAATTGTGGAAAACCACAATACACCACAATGTAATAAAGATTCTTTATATAAATAAATCTTGTGTAAAGCGGGTGTATATTAAATTATTGTAAGACGGTCAGTTTAAGGGTAAGTTTAAATTATTTTTAAGGTAATTTTAACCACCTAAAGGGTAACTTTTAAATTTTCGTTGGTTTGAATTTTATTTTAATATGTAATTTCTTATAGACTCACCATTACATACTATAAAGGCTAATATGATTGATCTAATAAATTATAAGTTTTTTGTAAGATAAAATTTATTATTAGAAAAATAATAACTTTTGTAGTATAAAAGGTAACTTTAAATACTTTTATGATCATCAAAAAATAAATACTTTTATGATAACTTTAACCAGTCTTACAATAAATTAACGTGCATCTGTCTTTTTGGAGAATTTATGAATTTAGGGTGTGATTCAATTTATTTTTTTATTTTTATTTTAACATAACTCCATATAGGTGTGGCACGAGTCGACCTAATACATTACCACGTGTGAATGTGCTTGCTAATCGCAAAAAAGATGTAAATTGATATTGAATTGAAAGGAACAAGTGACAAGTAGCTAGGCTACCGCCAACAAGTTTATTTTTAAGAAACTTGTATGTAACCGTTCATGGATTTTAACGAAAGGGACAAAGAACACCACGATTTTTAATCCATCAAGGTAACACCACATTCACAATTAGGAAAACAATTTCCCTGTATTAGCCTCTATTTGGTTCTTATAGAAACATGTATGTATTATTATTTGCAATATAATTAAAAGACATAAACAGTTATTCAATTTTCTGCAAACTAGATTATGCTAAGCCGGTTTTAAAAATAAAAATTAAAAATTAAAAAAAATTAAAAAAAAAGAAGAAGAAGAAGAAGAAGAAGAAGAAGAAGAAGAAGATTATGCTAAGTCAGGTGTCTATAATTATCTTATTAGGTGTGATATACAATTACGGTCTTGATTAGCATGAAATATTGTGGTTCAATAAAATTAAAAAAATAAAAAAAGCAATAAAATCATAATTAACAAATAAATAGCATGTGACAAATAAATAGTGGAAGCAACCTAGAATGACACTAATTAGCCCTAACTTGACACTAGCAAAATAAATAAATAAATAAATAAATAAATAAAGCAATTAACAAGCTAAGGAGGATTGATTACTTACATTGAATGAGTTTTTAAATTGCTACATCACGAATAAATTGTTAGTAACTTCAATTTAATAATCAAATTTTATTAGATCAAAATAAAGAAATCGAAAAGGTTAGATCACCCTCGTGATTGCACCTTCACGCTTGGTCTAAAGATAGAACATTCGGAACTTGTTTTGGATTATGAATTGTATATTAATAGAGAACCTAGAATAGTGGAACTGTTTATAACGTCTAGGTATTGGGTTGATGAAAAGGTGTTTCAGAAGTCTCGGAGTGTCGAATTTGTCTCGTCAAGTCGTCAAATTTATGTCCCCGAATATTAAAAACAGAAGCAAAAAAAAAAAAAAAAAAAAAAAAGATAAAAATAAAGGCCGGAAGTGCGTCGCGACACGCTTGAATTGGCGCGCCACGTTGCAATTGTCGTATCATGGCATATTTGGCGTGGCGTGGCGCGGCGCGACGCTTTCCATTTTTTTTTATCATAACTTGTGATCACGAACTTGGAATAAGGCATATAATATACGGTTGGAAAGCACTGGAAGTCTACTTTTCCGCATAATTAGAATTACGTTCATATCATTTCTAGATTTTAATATATGGCCAAAATAGTGCATGGTTGTCTATTTTAGTAATTTGTTCATATATTCTTCGTTATAACTTGGAATTGGACTTATAATATATCATTGCAAATCTTATTTTAAGGGCTATCCAGAAATATAGGGTTTGTATAAAAATTATGAAGTACAAAGATTAGATTTGCTCGGTTTTAGACTGCTATTGTGATAAAGAAAATTGGTTAAGGCTGGTGGATTTTAGGCTAATAAAAGGGTTTGGGCTATTAAAATGGCTTAGGAAATATTTGTGGACTAGGCTAAAAGGATTATTCAAGTAATTCTTAAATCCATGTCGCAAATCGGACCAAATTAGCCAATGAAGGTTATTTTGTCATCGAGCTTTATTTATTTGGGGATAAATTTTTAGGTGTCTACTGAAAAACCCCCACTTTGACTAAATTCGAATGTATGACATTTCCTTTGGTGTGCTTGTAATGATGCCTTATTGGTGAATGAAGTTGTTTGGAGGAGACATATTAGAGAAGATGGGATTTGCTTGTAATGTGACTATGGGGAAGAAACAATCTTACACGCCCTTTTTGAGCAAAATCTGGGAGGTTAGTTCTTTTACATACTACTTACTCCGTGAGACCCTTGATGGCTCATTTCAAGAGCGCATGGAACGTGTGGCAAGGAAATTAACCAAAAGTGCGCTATCAATTTTTGCCACTTTGTCATGGGCTTCGTGGACTAGCAGATATAAGAATATACATGAGCAATCTTCGCATGACCCAAGAATGCTAGCAACAGGCTTCGTCAGGTATGTACAACAGTATGCCAATAGATTGGGAGTCCTGTGGAAGGCGGTGTTGGATCAGCTGCAGCTTGGCCTAAACCCCTTTATGGTGTGATAAAAATAAATGTAGATGCTGCTATTCTACATGGCACTGAAGTAGGTCTCGGGGTTGTTGCTTGTGGCTCAAATGTGAGGGTGCTTGTTTCTGCAGTCCAACGCCGTGAAAGATGATGAGAACCAAGCATCTCCGAAGCAATAGCTCTGAGCTTTTGGGTGGAAATTGCAAGAAATTTTAGTTACTCCAGAGTTTGGTTGGAAAGTGACTATCTTGGTGTGGTTCAGCAAGCAGGTAGGTTTAAGCTATACTTTTCTATTCATCGATCGAGTTATTAGCTCAATGCCTTTATTTGATGTTTTTCATTGTAGTCACGTTAACAAGGTGAGTAATACTTTAGCACACTTAACTGTTACTAGGGATTCCAGCACGCGGTATGGCTAGCCCTTTGAGAAGAATTATTATCGGTGGTCTTTACGCTCTATGCCTGTTTCCATAATATTTTATTATTGTCATTTTCATATGAGCAATAAATGTGTAAGACGTGTAGATGTGTAACGTTCGAAACTTTAGTAGAACTACTTTGATTTGGCGAGCGAACAGTAAAAAAAATACGAGTTCTAGATATATAAATGTCTAAATTTTAAGTACTAACTGAGACAAAATTGAAAAAATTAAACAAGACATCACACATTATTCACAAAAAAAATAAAAAAAAATAAAAAGAAGAAGAAGATATGGCACGATCATGTACTCTGTAATTTTTGTACTCCATATATGGTAAAATTAATTTAGAATAATTTGTATTAAACAGTGTTTAAAATCCAAAAAGGAAGAACTAAAAGAAATGGTGTAAAAGATGACCTTAAATATTGAAATAAACACAAATTTCAAGGCTTTTGAAATCAAATAGGGATAAATATGTAAAAGAACAATTTTAGGAATATAAATGTTCGTGCACTATTTATAAAAGTTTTGTTAAACTTTTTATAAGGTAGGGAAGAGGGTGGATCATGTGATGGAGCATGTATATTTTGAGCCTTTCCCGTAGAGTATTCTAACTCTTGTGAAATTGGATGATAATTATTAAAAACACTACAATGTTACATTGATTTATAGAGGACCCAGCATACAATTCTCTCAAACTCGTGATAGTAACGGTAGAACTGATTCACTATTAAAGATATTTTCCTCAGTTACTGTCAGTTCAAAGTTCTCAACAAACAAAATTCACCGGTTACGAAAAATAGCTACAGAGAACGACTTGGTAGAGCTCGACGGGATTTTAAATCAGTAAGAATGGAACTAAGGAGGAAAAAAATGAAGGAGAAACTTAAACATTTGAATGGAAGAAACAATTGAAAGCCTTTGTTACCTAGTTCAACCATCATCATCGATACAAGAATCCATGACTACTGGGTGGAGAGTGCGCCCTTTTTTGCATATAACAATCAAAAACTACTGGGTGGAGAGTGCGCCCTTTTTTGCATAGTTCAAGACAAGACATCGATTTAAGCAACAAGCAAGTCAAATCTAACAGAGTAAATTACAGAATTTTCAGCATGGAATGAGCTCTAAGGACATAAATCATACTAAGAGATGCCATAACTTAAGAGGTTTGTGCAGCAGGTTGAGTCAGTCCAGACTTGGCCAACAGCCTGTTCAAAGATTCTGGAGTGTGTACCTGGTACTTAATTTTCCCAGAAGGCAGAAGGTAAACCTCAGCCAATTCAAGCTTCTCAGAAGTAAGACTTGTGCTGTCCATAGTCTTGCTGAGGACCTTCAAAGCAAGCTGGACAGCATCCTCCCGAGTGACATCATCCTTGTAGTCCTGCTTAAGCATTGACTGTGCAGCTTGGTTGTTTGCTCCGATTGCAGTAGCTTTCCAACCACCATAATTGCCACTTGGGTCACTCATGTAAAGTTGGAACCCATAGTTCTTGTCCCACCCGGCAAAGAGAAATGAAACTCCAAATGGTCGAAGCCCACCAAACTGAGTGTAACCCTGCTTGGTATCACAAAGAGATTGAACAAGCTGCTCAACAGGCATCGGTTCTTGGTAAGAAAAAGTGTAACGCTGAGCTTGGACACGAGCTGTATTGATAAGGATGTTAGCGTCGGACATTATACCAGCCACAGCACAAGCTACATGATCATCAATCTTGTACATCTTCTCGGTTGAGGTGGAGGTCTGAAGGAGCTTAGAAGTCACTTTTTTCTCACCAACCAAAACAACACCATCTTTTGCCAAAATACCTATGGCACTTCCAGCATTCCCAATGGCCTCCATGGCATACTCCACTTGGTAGAGCCGACCTTCTGGGGAGAAGATTGTCGTACGACTATCATACCTCCGAGACATGATTTACTACTCCAAGAACAAATAATAATCTTTAGTGTATCATTAAAGATATATCAAGTTATAATTGCCCCATGTTACACATCAAAACTTCTAATAGCAGTAAATCATTTCTTAAAAAATATCACCCAAAATCAAGCATAAAACCAATTTTATAAATGTCAAGTTCAGATTCTTGAGGTTAGTGCATACATGATGAAATTCAATTTATGTAATGTTGGGAGACAATTCACCTGTATATTCAAATTTACAAGATTCATACATTACACATTCATACTACATACTCAATATATCCACAGACTTTATATACAATACAATATAAAATTAAAAATTCAACCACCTCACTAACAGATACATAAAAATCAGATACTAAGATTTTACATCTAAAAATCCTACCCCAACAAAGTAAAAATGAATAAAGATGTAGACACTGATGAAAAATTTCAGCTTTGGTGCTTCTAGGTCATGACTTCAAAAAAAAAAAGAAGAGAATTTTGCCCTGGGGTTAATATATGATATGTTGAGGTAGATGAGACAGAAGGAGTCAAAAAGATCTGAGATTAAGGGATGAATAAGGCTGAGGTGGAGTAAGAGAGAGGGGAATGGAGCTGCCAGCTTAATGAAGGAAGGTACAGGTACAATCCAGGGTTCGAAAATGCGGCCGCATCATCGCGTATCGGGCGAATTGTAGCGGTTTTCAATTTTACCGCACCGAGATTTAGCGGTTTGATACGGGTTCTTAAAATACACCGCATTTTTGGATTGTATCGGCCAAATCGATGATACAACTATAAATCGCCCGAGAAATTGCAAGAATTCGCGATTTTTTCTTGGACTCCATTGAAATACAGAGAGAGTAAAGAAAAGAGGAGAGAGAGAGGCACGGTGAAGAAAGAGAAAGGGGTAGTTGGTGATGTTTGATATTTTGAGTGGGGTGTGAGCTGTCGGGAACGTCGGGGTAAAGGAAGTGGGTATAGGACAAGTGTCTTTTTACATACCATTAGTTTTTTCTTTTGACCTTTTCACTACTACTAACCAATTGTATTCTTTACTGCCAAACCAATAGTAATTACGGAGTAAGATAAAAAATAAACTTTTTAGTATAAGAAAATGAAAAAAATTTAATTTCTTAAATCCACAAGTAATTATATTAATAAATATAAAAAATTATAGAACTAAAATTTGGTCACCAAATCCGCGATAACCGCATCAATTCCATTACGTAACACCGTAACCATTATCGCAATCGCGACCGAAACCGTGCCCGAAACCGCATTTTCGAACCATGGTACAATCTAGGATTAGTTAGCCTTTCATATGGAAAAGAAAAAAAAAAGTTGAACTTGGGTTGGATCAGGACTCTGCACAGGATCCAAGTCCAACCACCTCCCAGGCTCCCATAAGGATCTGGACTTTTTTTAGGACTCAAATTCAAACATTTATCAGTGAATTCTTGACACAGTCTTTTTCTGTATTGTTATCCCTAAATACACCTTTAAAATGATGTAAGGCAATGACAAACTTGCAAGAAAATTCCATGTTTTTTATGCACATATGTTCATACTTCATATCAACAGAGAAAAATTCCAAATATATTATGCAAGTGTTTCTGTCAATACAAAAGGTAATGTCCATATCTACAACACAAGCCCAAGTTTAAGCTTGTTGAAAACAGGCAAGTGATACATAATAGGTCACAAATTATACAATGGAAAACAAGCTCCTATACTTTCATAGTTTAACAACACAAATCTTCCTATGGCATGTGTTATATACAACAAAAACTTTTGCATGCATCCGATGTACAGTAATATTAGTGTACATCGAGGTAACTTTAATTGAATTTAGGGTAACTTTTAGACTTTTTTGGGTAACTTTTATCAATAAAGCATACATAACTTTTATTTGTATCCTATACTGGGTAACTTTCATTCATTATAGGGTAACTTTTGATCATTTTAAGGTAACTTTATAGCGGATGTATAGTATTTTATTGTACATCCGATTTTTTTAAATGGTTGTCTATATACAAAAACATATGAGATACAAACTTACCATAAACCTAGATATTAAAGAAAAATTCAAATGTAATATTTTAAAATGATTTAAAAAATAAAGAGCAAGTCCATAAAACCTAAAATAGTTTTCAAATCAAATTTGCAGTCTGCAAACTACAATTTTGAAAAAACCATGCTAAGCTAATCCTTATACATGCTTACATGTAACCAGATAACAATAATGGTAGCCAAACCATGGTGGCAATAACTAAGAAATCCTTCCATGTAACTTATATTAAAAGAATAACAGGAGTAAGTAACTGCTTTTAATAACATAATTAAACTTTAGAAATAGGAAATAACAATAACCCCAGAAATCCTTTCATTACATCCACTCTCCAACCATCTCATCACAGTGAGGAGTCAACGGACCAGACCAGACCAGACTGAAGCCTAAGTTTCCTAAGATCTAACTTCAAATAGATAAGGTCAAGCCAGTCTGGGTGCTTTCAGAAATTCTTGATATCTCTCAAATGATATCAGCAACAACAAAATCAGGATGGGACCTACAGAGGTCTACATGTATGCAATTTACCACTAAATAGTTATAAGCTAAGTAGAGAGGCTATTTATTACCATTATACCCAAAGGATTTTTATCTTTAAAAAAAAAAAATGAAATATAGATAGGAACCACTTTTTACAAAGAAGCTGGAAAATCACAAAAGTACTATATTACAAAAAGAATGTCACCAATATTAATAAAGATTAAGCATCACAAACTAGCCAGGAATTCAGCCCATGGGAAATAATTCTAGGGGGACTATTCAGGGGGAGAAACTTCATGGGGAACTAGACTAGATAAGGTTTGGCATGAGTGAAACATATGCTGGGATAAAACCTTAGATTTATGGCAATGCCATGCCTTTACTCTCTTCTAACGGTAATACTAGTCCACTAACATCAATATCAATCCAAGCTCTAATTACCCATCAGGCCTTCAGCAAAGGCAATAATTTAATCAAAGAATACTAATTGCTTGCTCAAACCACATATAGCAGAAATCACCTTGTCAGCATGACTCTAAGGCTCTCGTATCATTGAACCAAATTGATTCTCCATTATAGTTGCCACCCTCCTCGCTCTACTCTCAATCACCCCCTCCCATACTTTCAGAGCATGACCAAGAAAGAGTCTTTAAAAAAATAAGGCAATGTAGTTATTACACAGCTAAATGCCGACTTATATGCTTCTATGGCCAATACATTTTCATATAATTATGAACCATTACTTTCCCATCATTCACCATTACCAACCTTTCCCGCTTCTCATTGACATAAGCCTCACCCACAACAATTTTTCCAATTTCATTCTTTAGGCATCCTAATTGATCAAGACCTCTAAATTTACGCTCTCTCAACCTGCATATATTCTTTTCTCCTTTTCTTCCATCTCTAATCCAAATGCCTATTCGCCTTAGAATTGGCTTCTACCACCACTGACTCCGCCTCTCTCTTATCCCTCATACATTTCACTACTGGCCATGTTTTCATCTTCCCGGACATTGTAACCAAGCCCTTATATGCTCTCTTCTTTTGCCACTCTTGTCCTACCTAGTTTCAGCTTTAGCCATTTTTTCATCGCCTCTATCTTAACCATCTGAAATAATATTCCTTACGTGCTACTTTATCACAAGATGTTTTCCCCCAAAACCCAAAAAATTCAATAAACAAGTTCCTTAATTTTCCTTCAAATTCTGGGAAAACCATGCAAAAAACAAAACTTAGAGTTCCAGGCTATGCGAAAACCCTAATTTGGGAATTGTTTTGCTACTTCATAAACGGAAAATCAAAACCCCCAGAACGCAAAAATCACTCGATTTTAATCAACTAGCTCATAATTTCTCAGCAATTAACCTAATGTACTCATGGAAATAACCCATCTATCCCGTAATCATTGAATCGTGAAAATGAATAATCAAACACATTGACGAATTGAGCAAAACAATAGACGCAATAATAGATCAAAAAATTGTTGAAAGAATCAGTGATTTTAGAAACCAATTAAAGGAAAGAATAAGAAGATGAATGATTGAAACTAACCTTTAGAAATGCAGAAAGATCGATCCAAAGGAGGAGAGAAATGAAGATGAGAGTAAAGTGTGATTTGCAATTGCAGTGGTGTATTTGGCTTGAGCGTTGGACCAAGTGACTAACCTAAAGCAAATTAACCATCCGTCAAAAGAAAAAGAAAAGTTAATGACTTTATGGCAAAAAAGAGCCAAGTTAAGTTTTCGTGGTTTAGGCCTCTTGAGTTCAAGTTTTGGGTTCGGGTTTGGGTTTAAGTTCAAGTTTTGGGTTTGAGTTCGGGTTCAGGTTCAAGTTTTAAGTTTTAGTTTAAGTTCAAGTCTGAACAAGTGTAAGTGAAGTATTTCGTTAAAAAAGAAAAAAAAATTAAAGTGAAATACAAGCAATTTTTAAAATAATCCCTCCGTTTTTAAATACTTGCTCCACTTTTCATTTCTGACCGTTTTTAAATACTTTCTCCGTTTCCTTATTTGGAAAACTTTTATAATATTTAATTCATTTCTCTCAACTAGTGGACTCAACATAAATCATATTTTATTAATTTCATATTCTCTCTCCTCCAATTCTTTCAACTACTTTTGTTTTTTACAATTTTTTATTCATCCACCTACCCTACTACCTCCATATTTTATTACTTTCTCCAATTTCTCCTAAAACTTCGCGCAGAGAGAAATGGAGCAAGTATTTAAAAACAGAAGGAGTATGGAGTACGAGCATCAATAATGGGGGTTTTTTAGGTGGTTCTTAAGGAGAGGAGAAATTTATGGGCTAGTTCTTAGGTAAAAATGACAATTTTTAGTTTGGAGTTTGCAATTGGTGTACCTGAAATTTGAAGTAAGACGCAAAATGACATAAACTAGTACTACTATTGCTGCATTTTGCATGTGATTGTATATAAATAAAATTGAAAAATTGTACAAGCCAGCAAAAGTAATTCTTAGTAGGAGCTAGTGCATTTCTTTGGTTAAATGAATAGTGACTTTTAGTAAGAGTTGATGATGTAGCCTAGGAGAGAGCTTAAGATCGCCCTGTTAGGAATCAGGGGATAGACAAGGAGGAGAGAAAATAGCCCACACATAAGCCCAAGTGAGATTCCATTCCAAAACCATATGGTAATAGAAAGAGTAGCTCACTTAGGTTATAAACTAGTGGTTCTTTATTTAATTTTTCCATGTGGAAAAATAACTCGCACTTGCAACCTAAGAATCTCCCCCTCAAGTGTGAGTTCGGAATACCCCCCCAGCGGAAACCATGCACCCAAACCCTCAGAGCACTCCTAATAAGAAGCTTGTATGGAGGAAACCGGGGTGTAGACAAGAACCTTTGAGGAGATCGCTAGTAAACAGGTCTTGGCCTCACATACCCTACACAACAGCGTCTGAGAAACGGGTGCGAGAGGTCCAGTCGAACCATCGGCTCTGATACCATTATTAGGAATTTGGGAGAGAGACAAGGAGGAGAGAAAATAGCCCACACATAAGCCCAAGTGAGGTTCCATTCCAAAATCATATGGCAATAGAAAGAGTAGCTCACTTAGGTTATGAACTAGTGGTTCTTTATTTAATTTTTCCATGTGGGACAACAACTCACACTTGCAACCTAAAATCCCCGCTATTTATGCTATTAGAGAATAAGAGCATCAATAATGGGGGGTTCTTGATGGGTTCTTATGGAGACATCAATAATAAGAATTAGCTTTTGTATAAGAAATGAGAGTGTCTAATTTGGAGTTTGCGAATGGAGCTTCTAAAATAAGAGATCGCTTTCTTGGTAAGAGTAAGTGATGTGTCATTCCAAAATTCATATGGGCTTTACATGTGTCCATTTACTTTACATTAAAAAAAAAAGACAGAGAAAGAGGAGAGAGATTAAGAGATATGCCTTAAGAGATAATGTATTTCTTTGATTATATAAAGGGTGATTCTTATTAACGGTTGATGATGATGTGGTATAGGAGAGAGATTAAAAGTCTCCCTTCAAGACACTTTCAATTACTCCTGCAATGTTATGTGATTAACACATGATTTACTCATTTATGTCCTTTTCCAATCTATTTATGTACATATGTCATTTGAGTACTGAAAATGTAGTCCTATTAGTTCAACTAAAATTGACATTTTTATTTTATTTTATTTATTTTTATTTTTTATGATTCTAGTGTTAGTATTTACTCTTCAACTTACCAAGTAAAACTTGGTGGTGGAAATGGTTGGGAACTCACCTTGTCATTTGAGCATTGAAAATGTAGTCCTTTTTTTATTTTTTTATTTATTTTTTTGGAAGTGAGAGCCACACTAGGCAATAATGTAGATGGAATTCGATCTCATATCATCCCCCAAAACCTTAGGCCCTTTTTGGTTCAATCTTAGTAAAGGAAAGGAAGAGATAGGAAAGGGAGAGAAAAGAAAGGAAAATAAGGGAAGGGAGAGTGATTTTATTTTCCGATGTTTGGTAAATGTAAGGAAATGAAGGGAAGAGAAAGGAAACATCTTTTATTTTTCTCTTTCCTTTCAAATTCCTCCAATTTTGGGAGGAAAGGAAAGTGAAAATTTTGTAAAGGCTCTTTCCTTCCACTTCCTTTCCTTTCCTACCAAATCCCATATCATTTTTCATACCAAACATGGGAAAATAATAAAACTCACTCCCTTTCTATTCTTTTCCGGCCAAATCCCATCAACCAAACAAAGCCTTAATGAACTAAACTAGTTGACATCCACGTGCACTCTCTTAAGCAAGTTAAATTTTGCACTAAAGTTATTAATTGATTATAAGTAATAATTGATATTTACCAATGCAATCAAATTGGCTTTTAAAAATTATTATTGTTATTTTTATATATATATGAACATTTTTTTTATTTTTTTTGGTAAGAGCAAGAGAATATAGCCTTAGCGTGTACTCCGTATTTCTGAGTTTCTGACACAATGTATTCTTAAGATCAAACATTATATTATCATTCACCTTAAAAATAGAGATCATTTCAAAAGTAGCTAAGGATACGATAAGGCAAATCAATTATCAGAAAGTTAATAATTCTAAGAATAAAGTATGCAATTCCAATCAATATATAAGAATACTCCTAAATTCTAGTCCTAATTGGCTAATTATCATAACGTAATTTAATAAACCTTAAACAATAGTTTAATATACTGAAAAAAGAATAATCTAGTAATACTTTCCTAACAATTCTATCATTGAATTCTAAGACAATAACAATAATAATACGAATTAAGAATTCTTAACTAAAAAAATCTATGACGATCGATCAATCTTGTGACAAAATTGTTAAACAGTTGATGGGCAGAAAGTGATCAAATAGTCCGAGCCAGTACAAGTGCAGGTGCTAGAGGCGTCATCGTAGGCGTAACTGTAAGCCGTTGGACACGCATTCTTAAACATCTCCGAGTAGTGCGTAGGTGTGCAGGTCTGCGGACTCCCATGATCACCAGTACAGCAATACTCCGGCGTGTTAAATGCTGCACACGCGCTCTTACAAGCCACCACGGCCCCTCCAACCGTGACTTGGAGCTCAGACGGGCACGATGCGTTAAGGTCATCTACGCAGCCTGCGTACTGACATTTCCCTGTTCCTGTACTAGTAGGCTTGACACCAATTCCTACGTTGTATCCGTCAACTAGGCTTACGTCGTAGAAGTCCTGTCCATCAGCCCCGTTGAGGGTGAACTCTACTAGGGATACCGGTGGGGCTCCTCCTCCAATGCATTGGAACCCCCCGCAGTCACCGGTAGAGCAGTTTCCTGCACCGGACGCATCAAAGTTGCATCCTGTTCGAGCCCAGAACCGGCCTGACCAGCCTGCTGGGGGATTTACTTGTATTGTTGATCCTGGTGACAATGTGAGGCTACCCTCACCAAGGAGTGCCGGTCCATTTCCCGACAACGTGCCCGGCCAGACGGTGTAAGGGCAGGTGTTGAGGAGGGTGAAAATTGTCCCTGATACCCTGTTTCTTGAAACACCTGCATATGCAAAAAAAACATGGACGGTGGTCACATACAGGCATATTGTACTTTATAAACCCAAAAAAAAAATTACTCCTATACAATACATTATACTACTTTTAAACACAAAAGTGGATATCAATTAATTTAATTGGTTAAAGCTTTGGCGGTGGTATTGAAATGAATCATGTTTATAAAATTATAATATTATCTCTTTTCGCAACAACAAATAAATCTAACAGTAATTATAATACGTAAAATCAATTTAACTTCTATTGACTCCATCAAGAAGGTATACAATTAAGTGATAAAATTTTCAAGTCACACACAATAAAGTAAAAGAAACAATCGACTCTATCAAGAAGGCATACAAGTAGTATGTCGTAAAATTCTCAAGTTACACAACACGTACAATAAAGTAATGGAAACAAGTAAAAGACATGGACATTAGCACACATATCATTCTATAGCAAGAAAATTAGAGTTAAAAATTTACCTAAGAACAAGAGCGAAACCAAGACGAAAGCAAAGCTACAATTGATCGCCATTGTAAACTAGCTAGAAGGAATGAAGAGAGTGTGTGTTGAAGTTGATATGAAGATCTCTTACTTAAAGGGGTTAAAGTAAGAGTAGTTAAGATTTGAGAGTGGGAGGTTGAAGGCTAAAATATCGGAAGCATAACAAGCATTATATAGTTGAGCAGAGCTTTATACCCACGATTGTATTTTAGTAATTCATTCAAAGGTTACCATAAATCTTCCACTTTCTATTTATTCATTTTATTTCATTGGATTTTTGTTTACTATTTTGCTCTTCATTTATTACGTGTGACTGTTGCATTTTCGTAATTTTTTGGGTTTATGGAGATTTGTGAAATTTAATGCTGATTCTCTTTCCTCCGACACTAAATTTATCAGTACATCTGATTTTTTAATTTTGATAATTTTGTTATAATTGGTTACTTATACTTTGATTTTTCTGTGCATGCACTGATATTAAGAAATATAATAAGGTAAATATACACCAATTCAAGGTACTTCTAAAATAATTACTTAGCTTCCATTTTATCTGACTTATAATAATGATCGGATTGTTAGGCTCCAATTTATGTCAAGTCATATAATATTTACTTACTAGATATGCTAGTACTAGATAGACTTGTTCAATGGGTTAGGGGCCCATTTAAAGCCCTGACCCAGCCTTTTTATAAAAGTGTTTTATCCATCCAATATTTAAATGGGGCGAGGTTTTAAAGGGTTATTAAATAATGGACTTTAAAAGGATTAGGTTTAAGTTAAAAAAAGGCTGAAATTGGGTAACTCTTATGAGGCTTTTTTTATCCTAATTTTTTTGTTTCTAAAACTTCCTAACGTTAAATTATGATACCTTGAAAATAAAAATTCCCAATTTCCCCCAAATTATGAACCCTAAAAAAAAATTCTCAGATTCTAAACCTTAGAAAAATCTACTCACGTCAATCTTCTTACTGCTGCTCTCAATCTTCAATTTATCACCCTTCTTCTTGCTCGGCGCTCTCAATTGCGGATTCCATCATATCACTTCATCAACTACCAAGGTATGTTTTTCTCGCTTTATTTACATTTTATACAATTTTAGTTTTGATTTATGGTTTTATTGTTTATTTTCGATTTATAATTGCATTTTTGGGAGATTTTGGAATTATATGATTTCAGATTTGGATTTTGGTCTGAAATGATATTTTTGTGCGTTAAATTTGATGATTTTTTGCTGAAAATGATATCTATTTTTAGTTTTGAGATTATATTGAAGTGTTAATGGAATTATGGGTGTCTTAGAGTTTAAGGGCATGCTACATTATCCAACACATTATTTTGATGGAGTAGTAATTAAAAGAAGTAGGAAATCTAAAGTATGGCGAGAAATGATGGAAGGAAAGAATGCAAAAGGTGAGTGAATCGCTATTTGTAAGCATTGTAAAGTGGAGATGTAAAGAGGGTGAAGAGAAGAAAAAGAATATGTAAAAAATTTTGAGCTTGGGTGAGAAATGAAGAAGAGATCTTAGAGAGAAGGTAGAAAATTAGAGGTTTTAGAGAGAGAAAGTATGGAGGTTTTTAGAGAAAGAAGAAAGAAGAAGGAAAGAGGAAGAAGATGTAATACCCTGGAAATTTCCTTCCTTTAAAATACTCTTTTTACTCTAAATAAAACCTTTTTTAAGAAATAACCAAAATATTACCGCCACTGTGATAACGGCTAAGGCTAGTTTTCAAAGTCTCACAGCGGAAGTCTAAAACATAAAAACCAACTTTCAAAAATAAAACTTAAAACTTGAGTTCACAACCTCAAAACAAATGTAGAATAAACCATTCACAAGTCGGAACCAATTCAAATATGGCCCTTCTTAAAACCAATTAAAAACAAGCATAGTAATGTTAGTCCATAAACAAATCAATAATTCAAAATATTAAACCTAAGAAACATAAAAAGTAACACTCTGCACCCTATCCCATCATGCTCTTCATGCTTCAAGTACCTGTTACTTCCTCTTTATTTCAACTCTCTACTCACCATAAAAATGGGTCATAGTAGGGCCAATCCAAAAGAAAGCCAAACACAAACACAAAAGTACAAATCAGCAAAGCTGAGTACATATGCACCACACTAACATGAATATCATAGCATCAAAATAAAAAATAATTAAAACATGCTCGCCACACAATCACAAGTCAACTTACCTTGGACTCATAACTAGCAATATTAATTATTAATAATAATTTTGGATTACGCATCGAACGGGGTTCCTTCCTTGAAAATAGCCCATTTAAATATTGAGCTTCCAATCAGGTAGCTACCCCAATTGGCACCTACTATGTCACACTTGGTGACGGAATTCCAGCGCATTAATAATAAAAGAAAGTATAGCGTCCTGTACCTCTGTAGAAGCTATGGTTAAATATAAAACCCCATAATTCCCCCCATATGTTTATACTCAAGGTGTATACGTTCCAAGAGTTTTGGTGCGTATCCTCTTACACTTCACGTGATTTTCCAATTTAACTTGTGATGACTCAAACCAATCAATCAAGAACAAACATAGCAACACTCAACACATACTTCCTATTCATTCTTGAATTAAATAGTGAGTACATACTATTTATTTTAATTAAGGTTCCTTGCCCAGTTTTGTGCACAAAATTGCACGATTACTACCTTGGTACATAGAATTCACTACTAAACTTCCTCGACTCAAACTCAACTTAGTTGAGTGAGTAAATAAATAAACTAACTTCTTGACTTAACACCAGTAATAAATAGGTGAGAAATAAATTCATGAATTATGCTCAATAATTCTAACTTTATCTCTTTAATTCATAAATAAGCCTTGCTTATTAAATACATGTTTTTTTTATACTTGAAAATAAAACATAATTCCATGATTCATGCATATTCAACTTGTATCATGCCTCAAATAATATATTCACATGCTTGCACAAAAATTCATGCTCATCCAACATCAATTCCAAGCATATAATCAACCAAACATGCTATTAGTTCATCACTTGAATCATACTTTACAAATCCTAGCATGATACTACGCATACACAACTATTCTTGTGCACATACGTACCTTGAATAATGCCTAAAATCAGCCACACTCGCTAGAAATCACCTAGCTCGAAGCTTCCTACACATAAGAATACATAACTATAATTAATCAACTATTCTCACAAATATCAAGCACCTATAATACTCTTTAAACCTTACTAATTAACCCAATTTAATGACATAAAAGTCATAAAACCTTTTCTTTAAGTGGGTACTTCAAATCCTTTCAAAAAGACTTAATTTTTATGATTTAAATAAAATTCTAGCATACTTATTTCATATAAAACATCACTAATAGACTAGAAAATCATATTTAAATCATTAAAACCTCTTTCCCTTTTATGGGTAATCAAACTCTAACTCGCTAATTAAAAAGTAGTGTGTATAGATAAATTTCAGCATTAATTTGAGGGCTTTAAACTCATTAAAAGCATGTTTTAACCATTAATTAAACAACAACATCAACCTAGGATCAAACCCTAACCATAAACATTAAATTCCCAAATTATAGGGTTTGTAAATTGGGGTTTTTGATTGAATAAAAATCTGAAAATTATATAACAATTTAACAACATCAAATGCCCAAAATCAATACCAAAATATAATCAAAATCATGCTTTAAATTAATGAAAACAATATAATTAAATTAGGAAGAGAAAAAGAGTTTTTTTTTAAATAATAATAATACCACACCGCAAAAGAGGATAGAGAAGGAGAGGGTAGCCGGTGGTGCGCCGGTGCTGCCGCTGCTCCCGGTGGCTCGCTGGTGGTGGTGGTGGCGCCGGTGGCTGCCGACGTGAAGGGAGAAGAAGAGGGAGAGAGAGGCGTGGGGAAGGAGAGGAAAAAAAAAGGAAAAAAAAAAGAAGAAAAATAAGGAGAAAAAGGAGAGAGAAAATAAAGAGAAAACCTTTGGAATTTTTTTTGTGAAATCTGACAATTATGATTTTTAGAGTGAAAAATCTTGAGGTCTTAAAATTTTTTATACTCTCCTTTTAAAACAAAAACTCATAATTACAAAACTGTCGTTACTAAATCCTACTCCCCCTTGACTTCTTCCTTTGGGGCCAACTTGTTGGGCTCTTAAGTGTCCTCAATTTCCTAACAAGTTGATCCAACTATTTAAATAAAGATGATCCAATTCAAAACACTTTAATTGCCTCAATTAATGACCCATATTATTTTATGCACACTTACATAATATTTAAATAATTAATTTCTTTTTAAAATGAAATGAATCATTTTAATTTATAAAAATAAATAAAATAAATAATTTATATATATATATATATATATATAAATATCATAAAAATACGGAGTATTACAGAAGAAAGAAGGAAAAAGAAAGAGGAGAAGCCCGGAATTGGTGACGCGCACCCGGTCGGGCACAATTTCGCCCGGTCGGGAGATCTATTTCCCTTCTTGTTGCTCTCCTCGCACCCGATCGAGCGATTTTCCTCCGTAAAATGCCTTTTCTAGCGCCCGGTCGGGCGCCATCTCGCTCGGTTGGGCGATCTTGCACTCTTTTTCCAACCTTAGTCTCGCACCCATTCTGGCGCCTCTCGCCCGATCGGGCAAAAATGCCTCGTATACGGAGTTGCTCTTGCGCCCAGTCGGCCACCTCTTGCCCGGTCGGGCGATTTTCACTTCTCTAATTCATGTTGACCGGGCGCGCCTTCAACATTAGTACTCCGAATTTTCTTCTTTCTTCGAAATTTGGCTAACTCATTTGCTCCAAACCTGTACAAACACACTCCAAAACACATAAAATTCCCTCCTCTCTTCTCTGAAAAGAAAAAAATAAATGGAAAAACTACTCTAGAATGCAAGTAAATACAGGTTGCCTCCCGTATAGCGTTGGTTTATTTAGGTCCCGCACGACCTTCTTACCATATGCAAATCAAGATGAGGTGGAATCGATTAGGTGAAGCAATTCAAATGCACCTATCGTAGATCCTTCATGGTATAACTTCAATCTTTGACCATTTACCTTGAAAACACCACCATGCTCATCATATAATTCCACGGAACCGAATTTATTTTCCCTTTTCACAATGAAAGGACCCAACCACCTTAACTTCAACTTTCCTGTGAAAAGTCTAAGTTTAGAATTGAACAACAAAACCTTACTGCCCTCTTTGAATCATCTCGGAAGGATCATCTTGTTATGCCATTTCTTGGTCTTCTCCTTGTAGACACGTGCACTCATCAACCTAAACTCATCTAATTGGTTACGTTGTAGAAGCCTCTTCTCTCCCGCTAACTTA